CTGCTTCCTCCTCTGCGAACAGAAGCGCATTTAGCAAGTGCCTCTTCCCCTCTGGGTACAGGAGCAACCAGGGGCTAGAGGCAAGGGTGAGAAAGGGGCAGTCATCCCGGGGAGAGAGCTAGTCACCGAATAATCACACTGATGGATGCAGCAAGGCTGCCCAGTTGCTGTGGCATCAATGCCCTGAGGGCAACTGTGCCCCACAGGGCTTCCAGTGTAGGCTTTTCCAGAAGTAGCGGACCAGGCCTTCTCCCGAGGGGCCTTTGGTTAGCAGCCCAGCCCAGGTTCAGCATCTGCAATCCCTGGGGCTCCATAGCAGCGTGAAGGGGATGCTCTGCTCTCCCGTGTGACCAGGGGTGAGGAAGGGGATGCACGCAGCACACAGACGCCTAGGAGTCTGCCAGCCGACACGACTCAGCCCAAGAAGGCATGTCACAGAGCCGAAGAAGTAGAACGCGCCTGATGATTTTTAACAAGCATCTTACCACACACCAGTCCACTCTTCTCCACCCTGACGGGCAAGGAGCACTGTTTGCGGCTGCCACCCAGTGAGGCTCAGTGATCCCTCGAAGGCAAGAGATTCAAACGTGGGGGCAAGCCTCTGGGCCTGACACGCCCCTCTGCACGTGGAAAGGCCCTGGGACCCGTGGGGACTGGGAACTGAGCCCACGGTTCCCAGCTGGCTCCACCCTGGAGCGGTGCAGCAGCTCCCGGGCTTCCTGGCCTCACTCTCCCGTGGCTTTCCCGCGGGCTCCGGGAAAGTGGTGCATCCGCTGCTTGACCGCCCCTCCAGGGCTTGGGGCCAGAGGGGGCGCGGCGCTGGCGGCGGCCAAGGCCAGAGCGCCCCTGGGGGCCCCGGGCCAGGGGCTGCGTCCTTCCCCTCCAGCCCACGCTCCCTTCCGGAGGGGTCTGAGCCACTTCTCTGGCTGGGAGCCAGAGGCCGCCGGGCAGGCAGCCCGGCCCGGGGACTCATCCCCTTCCCTCTGCCCCAGGCCCCACTCCCCAATCGGCCACCGGAGCAGTGAGGGGTCCCAGGGGGGCAGCGCGACCTCTTGTCTCCCACGGGGTCTCCGGGCATGGTCCAGGGCCAGCGCAAAAATTGCTTTATTGTCTGGCGCCCCCCTGCGCCACCCACTCGGCCTGGCACCCGAGTGCCCCCCAGCGAGGCTGGGGGGGGGTTAGCGAAGGACGCGCAAACTCAGATGCAAAGAGACTGTGCATAGCGCCGGAGGAGGCGGCGGCGGCGTGAAGAAGGGACCCTGAGCGGCGGCAGGGTTCGCGGTGCAAGGTTCCAGATTGGACCCGAGGGTGAATGCGAGCTTCTCCATCTCCCAGGTGGCCCCCGCCACTTGGCAGCTGGACAGGGAGTGTGGGCGGCTCGCTTCCCTGACAACACCACCGTCTCAGTCCTCCCTCACCCCCGAGCCCTCCTGGGCCGCGGAGACCTCCCCGGCCCCCACCCACTGCGCAGGATGCAGGGTGGGACTGGGGTCTTTGAGAGAGCAGGGTCCCGGCGCATGCAGGAGGGTGGCTTTGGGGGCGAAGCCGGCCTTCGCCATCAGCCCTCCTCTGTGAATCGAAGGTGAAGTGGGAGACTTCCGAATGTTGAAACCCGCAGAGGAGGGCTTGTGTGGCTCGCTGCCTTGTCAGCTCCTGGTGTGGGGACAGTGTCTCCACGCTCTTTTTAAAGCAAGGGCGCTCACCTCCACCCCCCCCCCCCGCAGGGACCTCTCTTACCAGCGTACAGC